TTTTTTTAGGATAATAATAGTGAATGCTCTTGCGGCATACGTTGCACGAGGAAGATTCGTAATTAAATATTTAATGTCATAGAAAATATTTAGAATTTGAAAGGACATCTTAAGAAAAATGTACAATGAATATAAAATGAAAAAGAAAATGGTGTGGCCAATTTTCCTCCAGACTCTTGATTCTATTGTTTTTCAAGAATGTTGAACTGGCTATGTAAGCCATGTCCTAAGGCTGTCTTCCAAGGTTCATCCTATGCTTTGGAACTATCACCAAAGAAGGAAGGACTTTGTGCACACAAATGGAAAATGTAAGAGTAGGTTTTGAATTTCATTCGAACAGAGCAACAAAATGAATAGAATAAACGAGCTTTTCACATGTTCCACTTAACGAGGAATCCCTTTTTTTTTTTGTCTTTTATAGAGTATTTAATTTTTGAAAAAACGATGGATTACTCGGATTGGTTCTTGGATCCTTGTGCCCAAAAAGTTGGGCGAGTTCGATTTGAGTTCCTAGCTACGCTATGAAATTAAAATCTTCTCGAATGCTTTCTAGCTGCTCCCTTTTAGGGGAAAAAGGATGGTTGTCATTCTTAGAACATTGATCGGCCGTTGGGGTTGGTTTAGCCACTCGACGAATCTAATTAAAGCAAACACAATCAATAAGAGAAATAGTATAAAAAGCCAAAGATTGAGACTGGACGGAAAAGTGTGTGTGTTCTAAAACGTTTATGAATATTTTGCGATTAAATGGTAGGAAGACCAAATTTTGATTGTGGAAGGATGGATCCTAGAACCTTAATTTTTAGTTCTTGATGTAGTAATCTCTCTTTTACACACAAGTAAATGGTTTTGTAAGGAATCAGTTTTAATCCGTGTGATAATTGAAAATTAAAAAATCAATGGATTGGTCTAAACTCCAAGGTGAAATAAAACTTCATTACTCCATAATATTGCTGTAACTCCTCAATTTTGAAAGTGACTTTAATGTTTTTCACCATCACATAATTCTCGACATGGAAACGAAGTCAAAGAAAATCACTTTCTATTAAAGATAGGGGCGGAGGGAGGGGCCTCCCTACTAATTTATCGCAAAATGTTAAATCAATTTCTATTAGAGATAGGGACGGTGGAAGAGTGCCTATCTACTATTTAATCGCAAAATATTAAATCACTTTCTATTAGAGATAGGGAGGGTGGGAGAGTGCCTATCTACTATTTAATCGCAAAATATTAAATCACTTTCTATTAGAGATAAGGGCCGAGACGACCGGCCTACTATTTGATCGCAAAAATTAAAGTGAAATGATAATGCTATTACTTTTGGTGATGAGAGAAATGATTATGACATGATTGACAATCAAGCTATCAATTATAGCAAATATGAAGGCAACAAGTTGGATAATTTGATTAATTTGTACATTATTCCTTTAATTACAATAAAAAAATTTTTTTTTTTTTATTTTACAGTTAAGCCTATCCAATTAAAGTACCTTCCGAAAAAGTAAAAAGCAAGGGAAAAACTCAACTATCGGCCAATTCAATTTTCAAGTTTTAAGTTTCACAATTCAAAACTCAGATGATAGATAAATAATTAAATAAATTAAGGTCACAATTATATAATTAATAGTCACATGTATGTATTTATAAATTTCAACTTATTTATTGATCACATATTATCAAATTAATTTTTCACAAATTATTTTTTAATCACAAATAAAAAATTTATAGATCACAATTTATTTATCGATTACAAATCACAAATTATATAGGTTATGATTTATTTATTGATCACAAATTATCAAATTAGTTAGTTACGGGTTATTTCGCAATCACAACTTATCAATTTTTAGGTCACAATTAAATAATTGATCACAAATTAACAAAATAGTTGGTCACCCACCCCACCCCACCCCACCCCAATACTTGGTCTCAAATCAACCAAATAATTGGTCACCAACATTCTTCGTCTCACTTCCAATCCAATCCCATCACCCACACCAATAATTTGTCACAATAATCTAAATAATTGGCCACGACCGCATAAATAGTTGGTCACGAACATTGTTCATCCTACTCTTACCCAAATACCACCACTGACACCAATAGTTGGTCACAAGCTCTTCAACCCATCCCACACTAACCGAACACTTGACCACCAGCTGCAAAACCACAGTTATCAGACGCATGATGATCTATGACTTGTGAACAAATTGTGAGTTACCATTATGATCACCACTTCCTATTCACTGTCACTGCCACATGCCCAAACACACCTTAGACCAACAGTTAACAGACTCAGATCTCCTCTTTCATAGGTGAAGAGGAAAATGGGAAAAAAATCCATCCTCTGCCTCAAAGACAAGGTCATATGTAGAGAATTTCGGGGTAGTTGGAGTGGGGTTGGGGTGCGGCTATTGGGGCTTAATTTTATAATATTGTTAATAATTCAGTTAATACCTGATTTTTGGTTAAATAAACTTCACACCTAATTTTTGAATTGGAAAATACGTGTTTATATGTAATTTTCTCAAAAAGAAATCCAAATAAGGTGGCCTCCGACTGGGCCAACAAGTGTCAGAATCTTTTAGGAGACTTTTTGGGCATGATTAGGGCCCAATTGAATAGACTTAGCCTGCTGCTTTAACAATTAATCTCAGATGAGCCCTATTGTTTCAAACACGCATTATTCACTTATACATCATTCATTTCTATCTATTTATAAATTAAATGAATGCTTAGTTGCAACTAGGTTTGTAAGCGCGAGTACTTTTTCTTTATAAGTCAATTTTAAAGATAAATTATACCCTTATGCATGCATGCTTGTAACCCATTATCATCCACAAGGCGGCTCAAGTTACTTGGAGGCATTAGACGAAATTTTTTGGAGGGGGACCTTTTTATGCATAATGTTTGTTTTTTGTACGAAAAATAAACAATAGTTATATGTACCGTAGGATTTTGTCATCTCACTAGGGGGGAGAAAAAAAACCCAATAGAACATCAAGTACAAAATGGTAAACTCTTAACAAGGATGCAAATATCTAACTAAAATACAGTACTTGAGAAAAACGACCAACAAAGACGACACTAATTTTTTTTCTTCAAACACAACAAATGTCGGTGCGAATCTGGCAGAAAGGGTGAAAAACTCCATGTTGAACACTTGTATCGAATTCATAACATTAAAAGATCGAGAACACTTCTCCACCAACAGCGATCATGTTTCACTTATATTGAACTATGTTGCATTAAATTTTTTTTTTTTTTTACCTTACGAGATGCAAAATTATTATATTCAAGTTATCCAATAAACAATATAGCTAATCATTCAATCTTTTTTTTTTTTTTTTGATAACCGTGAATGTCCGGGCCAACTTGCGCGCACCTCGACTAATTCCACGGGGCCCTGAAGTTTACAGCCGAGTACTCACATCAGTGGCCCTCAGGGGACTCGAACTGATGACCATTGGGGAGCAATCCCAAGACCTGACCAATTGAGGAACCCCTCAGAGTTAATCATTCAATCTTTCTTGAGAAATAATTAATCTTGAATACAACTTTCATCAAGTTTAATTTGAAAAAAAATCCTCTTTTCAAAAGCAACCAAAGCTGAAATTGTTAACAATCTTCTATTAAAATATGCATTTAGAAAGTAGTGGAATTGTTTTTGCCAACATTGCATTCTCTCCCAGGATGGAGGAAACATTCGAACTCAAAAAATATTAGGTCACTGGAAAAATATACAGACACCCCAATGGGCTGAAATTAGAGGGTTAAGAAAATCAAATTACAATGGAAGAAAGATGTGAAAAAAAAGTGAATCTGTTGCTTCACCTTGGACACCTTTTCAAACAAAGTAATTCACAAGGGATTATGAGTCCCATATCATGATCAAACCCGCATTCTTCCTCCGCACATTGGAGAAGGCGCTGGAATTCAGGCCGAGATAAAAATGATATGGGAACAATGTATCTGCTTCTGTTCTCTCCAACATACACTGCAAAATGGCCTTTTGGTACATCACGGGAAAGCCAACGTCTTTTGGGAATTTGTTTCAAAACTGCTGTTTATGGTAGTTTGATTGATTTCCTAATGGCCATTGTTTTTGAGCTAGAAGAAAAATGTTTGTTTAGGCACAAAACATTAAGCAGAAGAGAACTTTGAATGAAAATATAAGAATCTGAAGGTATTTATGAAGACAGTTCGAGAGGGTGGGAGGCTAAGGACAATCCACAGGTAGTGTCTAAGAGTGCAAGGACAATCTGGGGCCTAAACCCATTGGAAGTGTTCTGTGTTGGCCATCCAAATGACAACATGGACCCTTTCTGTTTATATCCAAACTAAAATTGCTCAAATCAATTCATTTTTAATTTTAAAAAATATTTCATCATGAATTGATATAAAAAAGCTGGATATTCTATAGAACTTGTTCTTGGTTCCTAGTATGTGAGGGATTGAAGGAAGCACATGCATCAATTGTTAGTATTCGCAATGCAGTGAAATATGTTAAATCTTCTCCTGCTAGAGAACAAAAGTTTAAGGAGTGTGCAAGTCAAGAAAAAATTGATTGTAAATCACATGTATTTTTGGATGTATCAACTAGGTGGAATTCCACATATTTGATGTTGGAAACTGCTTTAAAATTCCAAAAAGCTTTTGAAAGGTTGGAGGAGGATGATGTACAATATTTCAATTATTTTTAGGAGTATGATGGTGGTAGATGAAGGGGTGAACCTCCTAGCACTTCTGATAAGTAACTTTGAAGTTTAGTACTTCATTGTGTGTGAGCTCTAATATTTATCTTCATGAAGTATGTTCACTTCTAATTGAATTGGAAGAATGCAGTAAAAACGGTGATTATCTTTTGAGTGATATGACTATTAACGTGAAGAAAAAATTTGACAAATATTGGGGAAAAATGGAAAATGTTAACCAATTATTGTTGATTGCTACTATACTTGACCCAAGATACAAATTGGAGTATGCTGATTTTTGTTTTGGTGATATTTATGAGGATAAGAAAGTTTCTTGTAACATGACAAATATTTTGAAAGACAATATGATGTCTATTTACAATTGGTATGTGAATTGTGAAGCAAGTTCTGAAAGCAATAAAATATCTAGTAAAGTGAATTCTTTAAGTGGGGGTTCTTCTACTAAAGAAAGTCCTATTTCAAATTTGTCTCTTAATTGTGTTTCTAGGTTTATGAGAAAGCGAGTAGCAAAGGATTTGGTTAAGCTAAAAAATGATGTGGATAGGTACTTGTCGGATGCTCGTGAAAACATAGAGAATACGGATTTTGATGTTCTTAAGTGGTGGCGGTTTAATGGAAATGAATATAACACTTTGTCCAAACTTGCAAGGGATTTTATGGCAATTCAAGTGTCTACTGTGGCTTCAGAAAGTGCTTTTAATACTGGAGGAAGAATTCTTGACCCCTTCCATAGTTCTTTAACCTCAAGGATGGTGGAGGTCTTAGTGTGTACTCAAAATTGGCTAAAAGAAACTCCGATCACGGAGAGATTTTACATGGAGGATGTGGAGGAATATAACAAATTGGATAAAGGTAATATAGCTAAAACTATTTCATGAATTATGTTAAATATATGTGTTTTATTTAATTGATTCTAATTCAATAATTATTTTTGTAGAGCTTTCCGAATTAGAGTTTGAATCAAGTAGTACATAGTTCCTTCCTCCTTTGACCTGCTGCATGTAAATTGCTTGGTTTGGCTTTAAATCACTAGTCATTTCTTTATTATTCTATTACTGTATGACTGTAAATTGAAAATTTCTTAGTTTAAATTTGGATGACTGTATAATTTTTATTATATTATCTAGTTTCGATTAAATTATTTTGTGGATTATGGAAATGACAAGCTTGTACAAATGGGAGATGAATTAAGCTTTTTTCAAATAGGAAACAAATAGGAGGTTACAAATTTTTTGTAAGAGGGAAATGACAAACTTTATCTATCTATCTATCTATCTATATATATACAGAAATGATCTAATGAGCACCGGTGCTCATCTTATCCTAAGCACCGATGAGTTGGCACATTAATTTATTGGTGGATAAAGATTTTGTGAGTTCCAATCCACCAATGAATTAATGTGCCA